GATTCCCGTTATAATCGATGTCATGATATCTACACTAAACTATTGTCTGATAACTAATAGTGAATCCCAATAACCAAATAAGCACTTCAAACACATTTTTGATAAAAATATTTTCACTTTAAAAATGTGATAATTTTTCGTCAAATATTTTGTTGTAAATTTTTCAAAATAATTTCGACCGACAAACTTTGAAAAAATCCTGTTCATAAACTATTCATCCGATTTTGATGAAACTTGGATTCTGGTGCCTAGAGATGTTAACTTGAATTATAAAACCAATTTCAGAATTCTAACTACACGGCAACTGGGCTAAGCTAATACAATATCATTTAGCCCAATAATATAATTTATATTATCTACATATTATAATATTTAAAACATGCATGTACTTATACAGAACGTCCCCGATTTTGGCACACGCGATTTTAGCAGAATTCAAATTTAGCATAAGGTTTTGTTAGCACCGGCGAGTCATATTAGCACTGTTAATGAACCCGATTTTAGCAGAATTCAATTTTGGCACATCTTTTTCACAGCACCAATGACATGCCAAATTCGGGGCCGGACTGTATATGAAATAATAAATCTATGTTAATCAATTTGCGTTATACATTAAGTTAGTATATTTATTGCACTTTGACCAAAAGAATTTCTTAAACATAAAAATAATACAAAGATAAATTATTTTATCTAACAATGCAAATATAATAAGACATTTTATAACTCGCATTTCAACCCTTTATCTACACATATTATAACATTATCATATAATTCATACAGGTGGTAAAGATTACATTAACAACCCTACATAGTAAATTATTGTCATTAACATATAGCCATTTTGTTATTATTGCTGCTGTTTACTAAATTAATTGACGAATTTAACATGGACAATAGTCCAGTGTATTTAAAAAGGTTTCAAGATAATTTTATTGTGCAAAATGATTTGGGTAGTGGTGGGTTTGGTTCAGTAGTAAAAGCCCGACATAAACTAATTAGCAAAAGTTACGCTGTCAAACAAGTGCCCATAAAGAATCCGGATCGATTTGATAAATATACAAGGGAGATACAGGTATGGGCGAGGCTACAGTCCGAGTACGTGGTACAATATCGTACACATTGGCTACAAAATGGCACCTATCGCGATGAGATTAGGCATGGTGTTTTTAAAGATATATCAGGCACCATTTTATACATTCAAATGGACGTATGTTCGTACAGCCTATCTAAATTTATCAAGGCAAAAGCTAATTATATTAAGCCAGTCAAATGTTCGTTTGAAAATTACGCGATCAACCATTATATATTTACCGAGATTATGGTGGGCGTAAAATATCTTCATGATAATAATATTTTGCACAGAGACCTAAAGCCGGATAATATTCTTATAATTAATCATGATAAATTGCAAGTTAAAATTGCCGATTTTGGCCTGGCTACTTATCATGGAGCTGGTCAGCATGATATGACACACACGACAAGGTTGGGCACCCGGCGATACATAGCGCCAGAAGTGTGTGAAGATTATAATCGTTATAATACAAAAGCTGATATTTATGGCACCGGGATCATTTTAGAAGACCTATTTGATTTTGCCTCGTAAGTTTACTATGTCATCAAAATACATATAAATTAAATATTAACATGCAATTAATTAAATAGATTACCAGGATACGCACTGGAGCCCAACCATGGTGAAATGAAAAAGTTTATTCTAACACTTACGGGTTTGTATCCAGACAGCAGACCCAACGCGGATCAGGCCATTCAAACTCTAAGCTCATTAAAATTGAATAATTTTAATCTTGATATTAAATCAAAAATAACTGCAATTGAGCATGCTGGCAAAATTAAACACACCAATGATTCTGGCGATTCTGACATTAATATGACCGAGTTGAGTTCATACTTAAACAGCTTGCAGCAAAGTAGTGATCGCGGTACTTTTCGTAATGAGTTTGATTGGGGTCATCAATTGGGCACTAGTGTGCATATGATAACACATAAATTAGCTAAAATTAATTATGCTATTAAAACAGTTAATTTTAAAGGTAATTATTTAAAATGATGTAAATACTTATTTTACATATTTAATGTATATACTGTATAATACAGTTATATACTTAAGTTTTTTATAAATTAATTCAGCAAAGTTGGGAATTTGTTTGTAAAACTGTAAACATGATTTGTATTTTAAATTTGAACAGTTAGTGTTGTTTTAAAACATTATATTGGGAAAATATCAAGAAATGGTTTTATTTTGTACTATATATCAATTAATTTATTAAAATAGATCGTGATGATTGTATGGCCAAATTAAAAGAGATACGCATTTGGGCCAAATTGGACACGGATCATTTTGTTCAGTACAGGCATCATTGGTTTGATTATAAAGCAAACATGTATACGCTTAACATACAAATGGATCTGTGTTGGTTCAATTTGGTTGGCGCTATAAGACGAGTGCATGACTATGTCACTGGTGTGCCTGGTCAGTCCACACAACGAGCTTGTTACTTTTTAATCACCGAGCTCGTTCAAGAAATATTTAAAGCCCTACAAATTTTGCACGACCAAACACCCGTTATATTGCACCGTAATATTAAGCCGGAGAATATATTAATTAAGCATGGTGCCAGTGGCCACATGGTCAAATTGGCCAATTTTGGCAGGGCTACTCAGCACTTTAGTGACTCACAAACGCATACTATGGGCACCGGCAGTAGCAGGTTTACCAGTAGCATCAGGCACAAATATATGGCCTGGGAAGTTAAAGCTGGACGACAGTACGGGGTAAAAGCCGATGTTTATAGCATGGGTGTTGTGCTCGAGGATATTTTCGCTGTAGATCGAAACAGGTAATAATTATTTTATTGCACAAATTTAATTAATGCAAAATTATATATTAATTTTATTTCTTGAAATCCTACATGCACAGGTTACTTTTTAATACAGATAATTTAAAACATAATGCCCTTGGTCGTGTTATGCATAATTGTAAAGAAAGACTGCCGGCAAAAAGGAGCTCGATAGATGAGATTTTGGCTAATAGGGAATTATGGTCCGAAACTTACCTGGATGTGAGAGAAGATTTAATAAATGTACTTGATCGTAATAAGCAAGGCTTGGTTTATATAACAAAAATCTATGACTACGATACAAAATTTGCACAATACTTCATGCTGACTAAATATAAAATTAATGAAAATTAGTAAATTCTAAATTAATTGTATTTTTAAGCAAGCCTGACTTATAATTAAAAAATTCATTTTTTAATTAAATATTTTTGTCAATTAATTATACAATTAATTAGTCAATAGTCAATACAATCAATTAGTTATACAATATTTATTGCACAAAAAATTCATTATAAATGTAACATTATCTACAACTTGTTGAAATAAATTAAGATATAATTTATTTATATTATATAATTTATTAATTTGTTAACATAAAAATGACTATAAACTACATTTTAATTAGTTTTTCTCAATTAAATTTAATTTAATTTTGCTAATAATTATTACTATTATAAATAATTACTGTAAGTATAAATAGTAATGCAATAAATCTGTTATTTGTTATACCTATAATATAACAATAATTGGGTAACCAAGTTAGCAAGAAAAATAATAATTTACTAGTAAAACTTTTTTGGTGATGGACCATCACTGATGGCTTATCACTGGTGGTAAATAAAATACCATTAATTATATTAACCACATATCTACTGTACACATGTACACATGTAAACCCACACATAATAGCACAGAAACTAAGGTTATTATCACTTGACAATGAAATGCAACTTATTATTGAGTTCTATTGTGACTTCTATGAAGTAATGAAAAAATTGTATTTAAACATAATATATAATAACAAATAATGGCTAATACTGGCGGTGAAGAATGGCAAATGAAAGTGGACAATGGCAAATTTAAAAGTAATTTTGTCACGGTAAAGAGTATTGGCAAAGGTTACTTTGGTGAAGTGTTCCTGGTTAAATCTAAAGCGGATAACAATAACTATGCTATTAAAAAGATTGAACTAAAGAAAGGTATTTAATAATTATTTGTGTAATTATTAATTAAACATTTTATAACATAAATATAAATTATTATACAATATAAAATGTAACATGGTAATCTTATTTAAAAATTTAGATTTAGTAGAAGATGAAGGTGACTACAAGAAGAACATAAACAGGGAGGTAGGCATATTGCAAAAATGCAATCACGTGAGCGTGGTGAAATATTACGAGTCATGGCGCGAGCAAGGTAAAGCTGGAAGCGACCTTGCCGCAATATACATCCGAATGGAACACTGCCCGCTCGATCTCTATGAATTTTGCGGATCTATCAAGAGCATTTATAAGCGCAATACAAACGAGGTTATATGTTTGGTATCATATTTCATTATGCTTACCATGGTCGAAGAGATACTGGTGGCATTGGACTACTTGCACGGTCAAAATATAATGCACCGTGATATAAAACAGTGGAATATATTGCTGAAACGTGATGGTAATAATTGGGTAAAGCTATCTGATTTTGGATTGGCCAAGGTGGAAGATGCCTATTCACAAACCCATACGAACGTAGGCACCGCCACTTATAAAGCGCCCGAGGTGAAATGGGGCGGCCATTATACCACGTCGGCAGACGTGTTTAGCCTGGGCATTATGTTGATTCAATTTTTTGACCTCGATATAAACAAGTAAC